GACTAGTTGTGGTATAAATTTTGTAATTTGTTAAATTTATTTACTGCAAGAATTAATCCAATAACTTAAAGCTTGTCTGAGGATAGGAATAATTGTGAGGTATTTAAATTTTTTTTCTTATTATTAAATTAATAAATTAAGAATACATTTTTGAGAATTCGAAGAACCCTATGAAAAGAAAAAAAATTAAGAGCGAAGTTCTAGTGATTGTCTCATCATATACTTAGCTCAACAATACTAAGTAAGTCTTCCTTAGCCGCATTTAGTAATCTCTTAGAACTAACCCAATCAGTTACTTACTATCATCATTCCAACATGGTCAGAACGTTTTATACCGATTTTTCCACCAGCATGAACTGAATCAAACACCTTTCTAGCCCGAGCATTTTCTTCCATTCGCAAGATATAACTTAGCCAGTAATATTGCTTAATTTTTATGCGCTTAACTATGCTAAGTTCCACCAACGGGTATTGATAACAACACCTTTCTAACCGGAGCATTTCTTTCCATTCAGAAGACAGGTACAAGCGAAGTCACGCAATTATTATGCGCTTAAATAAGTCAATTTTACAATAATTCGTACCATCTAATTCGATATTCAGTGCTAACGTATACGGGATATTAAATCTTCCGAGAAAAATTAAAATCTTCTAACGGCTTCCCAACACTCCAAGCATTTGCACCATACAGCTGAACAGTCGTGATAAGAAACTTGTAGAGCGTAATTTTTCTTTGTCGAAAGAGTTATACCCATTAATAATGTGGCTAGATATATTATCGTCTTCCTAGTATAGGCAATAATCTATTAGATTATCCATCTATCTTACAGAAAAAGAATATCTCTTTATAGTGAAATAAGCACACTTTGTCCGTGATAGTATAAAATAACCACAAAAAATGTGAATATTTATCTGATTCTCACCCAAACGGAGACAACATACTGTCCAATCGGGCACCCTAATATGTTTTATTGAGAAAAAAGGCAGAAAATCTGCAGCATCCTCTTATATGCGGAGAGGCTGAAGCACCGTTTGAGATGTTTCATCAGATGGATATGTGTTCCTAAGAAGTGAAGTGCACAAACTTGAGCTCTGGCAAGACCAAGTACTTCCAAAAATGGTACTATATATCTCATCCATACCCAAACAGAGGTAACATTCTATCGAATCGGATAGTCCCATCTGTTTGACAGAGAAGAAATGTCCCTTTATATTGAAATGGACAAACCTGATTCCTGGCATGGTTAGATACGCACATAAAAATTTGACTAGACATCTCATTTTTTTCAAGCAGTGACTATATTCTAAGCAATTAGTCGGCCTTATCTTATTGAGATTGTACCGGAGATTGAAAAGTCTAACCCAATAAGCTATTAATTCTATTTCAAAGAGAAAGACTGTCTCTTTGTTGTTGAAATTGACTGACTTAATCCATCTAAACTCTCATCGATAGTTGATTAGTAGCTTTTAATAGTAAGAATGTTTATACAGGAATAATAAGGTACTTAATCCACTACTATAGCCTTAATCCATATATTAAAGTTTCTGAACTAAACCTTCGATACAAAAATTAAAATTAAAATTAAAATTAAAATTTTTTTAAATATTTACGAAATTATTAAAATTCAGTGTATGGTATACCAAATAACATCAACTTCCCTTGATTCCGAATGATTGCCAAAATAAAGTAATTTTTTTCCACAATCAAAGGATGGCATTTACTGCGATCCTTGCCAATTTTAAGGAAACAAATTTAAATGCCAGCAAAATTTTGCATGTTAAGCAAACATAAAACTTCTCAATGAAAAGGCACAAAAGCTACTTTCGGTGAACAATTCAAATGTATCTCTAAACAATTCCTGTTCAGAAATTGCATAAAATAAATTCATAATGGAAGTGTAGTCCTAGCACCCACACAAACGGGCAGACAGGAAAAAAGGCACATATTTTGCACTTAGTGTCCTTAGTCACTTTGTAGTAGCAAAGCTGAAAAATTGGAAGAAAATTATATGAATAAACACCACTTAAGCACACTCAACTCCTTAAGAGTCCGGGTCAAGTGTGATGCCACTAGAAGAATGCTAAAATGTGAATACTTAATATTTTTATTATTTTTTAAAATTATTAAATCATTTAAGAGCGTTAAAAAGCAGAAAAGGAGCTTACGCCCACTTAAAATGTCATTGTTTCTCTTCTCTCCTCTGTGGCTTGTGGTAGGAATTCTTTAATGAAAAATATTGAATGTTTTAAATAAGTTTTAAATGTTTCTATTAAATTTTGTTGGAACTTCAACGTAAAGATGAAATTTTTAATTATTAATGGTACCAAATCTGTTTTCTGGGAACACATTGTTATGTTCCGCAAACAAAGTTACTGAAAGCATGATCTGAAGAATATATTAGATAGGGAACCACTTCAAAGTTCAATTCAGGCCACTTTACTGTTATTGGGATCGATTTGTGACATTATGCATTACCTTCCTGGAAAACTTTCTTTTCTTCCTTTTAAGTACTACTATTGAAGCATGACGCTAGATTTTCGTAATTTAATTATTTGGATATAAATAATACAATAAAAATAATATCTTAGATTATGGAATACCAAAAATACTAAACTAAAAAAAAATTGAAGGAAGGGTATATATATTTAAAACCGTTAACCTATAGATAAAAATTAGTATAGAGAATAGTGACCATCATATCACTTTTACTTCAACTATTCCTAACAGGTAAAGCCAGTACCTCGAAGTAATAGTAACGTAGTCCTGGGGTAGGACAAAATATCTAAGAATGTTGGAGGGTTTACAACAGTTATTGATAGTTATTGATTGAATATTGTGCTAAATCTATCTGTTTCCTTCTTTATTACGCTCAATAGCATATTGAATCAGTAGCACATACGAAAAGATTACAGGGTTTTATAAATGGACTTATATCCCAAAATTTATTGTAGGCCTTTGAGATAATCCAAAATACGACTAAAGAAACTTTTCTTCTTATCAAGAGAAATTGCCATTATTTCTGTAATTCTGTTTACCATTTCTTCTCTCCTGTAATTTTTTGTTTCTTTGCAAGTTCGATAATTTCAGGTTTTTGGTCGTTCTCCTTTATAGTGTTTTATATCTTTCTATGGTCAATCATTATAGACTTAAGGTCGTACACCCCTAGTCCTCATTGTAGTTTTTTGTGAGGTTAAAAATTTTAAATTTCATGTTGTTTTCCCCTGCAGGGTGAAAAAATTTTAGATTTCAGGTCACCTTTTCCTACATCTTATAGCAATTTCTTTGAAAGATCAAAAATTTCAGATTTTAGCTTTACTTCCCCTGAGACTTGTTGTAGTTCAATTATGAAGTCATTCTCCTCATATATTTCATTCGGAATATAATCTTTAATAATTGATGGTCTCACAACTTACTAGAAAAATCCAATCCTTTTTGGTCGTCCTCCTCAATAGTGTTTTATATCTTTCTATGGTCAATCATTATAGACTTAAGGTCGTACACCCCTAGTCGTCATTGTAGTTTTTTGTGAGGTTAAAAATTTTAAATTTCATGTTGTTTTCCCCAGCAGGGTGGAAAAATTTTAGATTTCAGGTCACCTTTTCCTACATTTTATAGCAATTTCTTTGTAAGATCAAAAATTCCAGATTTTAGCTTTACTTCCCCTGAGTCTAGTTGTAGTTTAATTATGAAGTCATCCTCCTCATATATTTCATTCGAAATGTAATCTTTAATAATTGATGGTCTCACAACTTACTAAAAAAATCCAATCCTAAGTCATTTTATCAATTCTAAGCCATTATTGCAAATTTTTATTGTCATTATTATATTGAAATTTATGAATGCAATGCTAGGTACTATGGAAAATTTCATTTTATAACATTTTTTTAAATAAATCTATTAGCAATTCCAGTATTAAAATTTTTTCTGTTCATCACGAAATACTTTTCTGAAATAGATTATTTCTAATCCCTTTTTTTAATTTTAAACAATATTAATTTGTTGTCATATATGTCCAATAATTTTCTATACTTCTTTAGCTCTAATCAGTAAATTTAAGTTAGTTTGATCGGTTCGCCATGGCGTATGATTAATGTTGTTTATGGTTCGATGAAAATAGCACTATAAGAGAGACATGTATTACCACAATATTATTTGTTATTCATTTGATGAAAAATATAAAATTTATGTAGACAGCAAAGCAAAGTGGCGGACTGTTTCAGAGACTCTTACATAAACTCGACTTGTGCCCAATTTCCAAAACCCAATTACGGGTGCTCGTACATGAGCGTTTTACTTGCTCTCCTTTAGTTTTGTATTATAAATTACAACTGTGTAACTAACAATTTGATTTGCTAATATGTAAATAACTTTTCAAGAGGTTAACGATTTTTTTTTTAAATTTTTTTATTTCTACTTGCATTATAGTTGTACGACCCGTCCCTGCCGTCCCACAAAACAATGCAACAAAGGTACTTTATGGCATCATGAAATACATTTTTATGATATATGCAGGCACTTGGCTCTGTGTTGGTGCCTAGATCTGAGTGCAGCTAGGCATTGACATGTGTGTCGGTGTCTGCCCAACCACCTCTTCTGGTGCCTCAACCACAATGGATACATTGTTACGGCAGTATTTTGCAATTCTTTAAATGAAAATGCATAATTTTATACTTTTTTTATTTCACCATTTTCCTTACTAATAAAAACGATTTCACAAGTGTTGCCACATCGACAGAAATAGAAACAGAAATAGAAATAGAAATACTTTTGCGAATGCAAAATGTAAAATGTTGCTTTGTTATGCAATTAGTGGATTTAGTTAAAACTTAAAAGACTTGTTATATTATTTCCGTTATTGCAGCGAGGGCGGACGTTGCATAGTGCATTCAGTAAAAAATAGGTCGATTTTGCAAGTCAATGAATGTTTTGCAAAGTGTGGCAAAGTTGCATAAATTTAATTCTTTTTTACTGCATCTTAATTGAGTAATTAATTTGCCCTTTTTACTCTTCTTTTAGGCTAAAATGTTGGAGAATTCACATGCTTGGATGGGTGCTTCAAGTTCTTCCATTGCAGGTTTGTAAAGAAATTTACAGCGAACTTTCGCAGTTCGGTTTAATGCATTTAGCTTTTTTGTTTGTGTCACCAGCAGACAGTTACCAGTACCAATTGCAGTCGATGTGGCAGAAATGTTGGAATACCAATCAAAACCTTATGCATCACTTGCGCTTTCGCGAGCGCGGTCCACTCAAGTCTTGGCGTCCCGAAACAATGGCCGAAGCCATCTTCAGTGTGTTGAAAGAGGGTCTTTCGCTTTCGCAAGCTGCGCGCAAATATGATATACCTTATCCAACTTTTGTATTGTACGCGAATCGTGTGCACAATATGCTAGGGCCATCGATCGATGGTGGGCCTGATCTACGTCCGAAAGGTAGAGGCCGTCCACAACGTATATTACTCGGTATCTGGCCAGATGAGCATATCAAAGGTGTTATAAAGACTGTAGTATTCCGTGACGCAAAGGAACTGAAAGAGGATACTCTACCGCCAATTCCGTATGGACGACATTCGGTAAGTTTCTATGACAAAAGCAATACCCACCCAACCTATTACAACAAATACTATCATTTCTAGCCAATTTTTCCATTTCCGGATAGTCCACTGAGCTATCCAGGCGTACCTGGACCATGTCCGAATGGTATGCCTTCAGCTCCCGGTGAGCAGATGTCACAAGAAGCTACAGCTGCAGCCGTTGCTGCTGTTGCACATAACCTACGCCAACAAATGCAAATGGCCGCCGCAGCACAACATCAGCACTCAGAGGGTGCATCAGGCGCCAACCTATTTAACATACCACCGCATCTGCAATCACACATGAGTGCAGCCGGTCCCGGTCCCGGTGGTATACCTCTGCCAAAGGCTAGCATCTCACCCGCATTGAGTTCTGCCTCAAATCATGGTGCAGCTGGTGGTATGCTTGGTCCAAGGCATGCACCATCACCGTGTGGTAGTTTAGCTGGTCTGCCTAATCTACCACCTAGTATGGCAGCAGCACTGCACATGGTAGGCGGCACAAGCGCTGCACGTTGCGATCCTGCTGCTATGCTAAGTCAACAACAGCAACATCAATTGCAGCAATTACATTTGCAGCAACAGCACGCTTTGCATCAGCAGCAGCAACACCAGCAACAGCAACATCAACAACAACAACATGCGGCTACGCATGCTCTTGGTTTCGGTATTAGTTCCATGTCGCATTCATTAACTTCCACTACAGCTACGGCAACAGCAACGTCATCTTCCACACAAAAACTTCAACTTCAACAAGAAGAGCAACAACATCAACAACACGAACAGCAACAGCAACAACAACACCAACACACAACAAGTGCTGTGAATACTTCGTCAAGTTCCATTATAGCAAAACCAAAATCTGTAAAAGATTCACCAACTCAGCAACGCAGTAGTCCACGCCACGAGACACCATTGCATTCGCCTTTCACAGAGCTCGGTTTGGAAATTGGTTATAAACATTGTACGCGGCTATTCACCTTCACGACTTTTTACCGAAGATATCGCTGAATTAATGGGTGCAGCCACAGCTACCACATCCTCTATTACTAGCAGTTCCAGTGCCAGTCCGGCAACTTCGTCCATTCTATCGTCACTAACTTCGGCAACGGGAAATGTGGCAACAGCTGCATCAGCGCCTACAAGCAGTAAAATTAGTTCCAGTAGTATTAAAATTGAACCCATCACAACAAGCAGTGAGTAAGGACCATTTTGGAAAATATATTAAACAAACTAAATACTTATTATTTTGATTATATTTTACTTTATACTTTATATTATTGGGAACACAACTTACTACAATTTGACTAAAGCATATGAGAATTATATTCCTCACCACTGTGAGTTTCGAAAAGTATGCGTAAATAGAGTGTTTCATTGGCTTTTTAGTAGACAGATTTCAATAGATTTCTATAGTCGTTCATTTACAGTTTTATATTACTTTTACACATCCATTACTGTTACTCACATATATTGTTACGGTAGTAAGTAGCGACAATCGACAGTTGTTTCATCTTTCTGTGAGCAGGAATAGTTCAATTAAAACATACCGAATAACAAATTATTATTACCATCAATAGTAATAAAGGAAAAATAAAGAAAGGCTGATACTCGATAAGGGGCTGTGATGGCCTATTAAGTAAGACAGTTTCGCATTTCACAGAGAGTTTCGGGGGTTACGAAATTAACCGATGTGCCACTCTACCAGTCAAAACGGTTAGCATTAAATGATCGCATTCTACCGTGAAAAGAATAAAAATATCACCGTAAAATTTAATTGGTCATGACAAGTTGAGTGCTCTTGCTATAATGTCGGTTCAATGTCGGTATGCGATTATAAATCTGGGTGAAGTGTCTAACCATTTATGGATAAAATAATATAACAGATTATTGTGTTTTCATAACCTACTATCCTCCCAACGATATATTTGTATACGAGCTCGATATATTAATAATATATGAACCTAATAGAATAATAATATCAAAGTTACTTCTAGTTTCCATAGCTTTTATCAAACTTCCAATAAAATCTGTTGAGCTCATATTAATTTAACCGTTAGGGTTGGTAGAACAACACTATACAAAAAAGAAGGTATTTGCAATCAATAACCGCATTCTCCGAACTGAATATCTATTGATGGGTTGGACACATAAAAGTTAATAAACCCAAAACATTAATAATATCAAGCTCACCTCCAATTTCGGGAAGCTTTATCAAAC